AAATCAGCAGTTTACAAATATATAACTCATTTTTTTTTTCTTTTTTTTTTGAGACAGTCTCACTTTTGCTGCCCAGGCTATAGTGAGTGCCGTGGCGTCAGCCTAGCTCACAGCAACCTCAAACTCCTGGGCTCAAGCGATCCTCCTGCCTCAGCCTCCCAAGTAGCTGGGACTACAGGCATGCACCACCATGCCCGGCTAATTTTTTGTATATATATTTTTAGTTGGTCAATTAATTTCTTTCTATTTTTAGTAGAGACAGGGTCTCGCTCAGGCTGGTTTCGAACTCCCAACCTCGAGCAATCCGCCCGCCTTGGCCTCCCAGAGTGCTAGGATTACAGGCGTGAGCCACCGCGCCCGGCCTATATAACTCATTTTAAGAAAGAATGAGACAATATTGAAGATGAAGCCAATGGCGGCAGACCATCCACATCAATTTGTGAGGACAGATGTATCTTCTTTGTGCCTTAGTTGAAAAGGATGTAGATTAACAGTAGAAACAATAGGCAACACCATAGACATCTCCATTCCTTCAGCTTACACAATTCAGACTAAAAAATTAAAGTTGAATAAACTTTCTACTTGATGGGTGCCAAAACCATTGCACCCAGATCAGCTGCAGACAATGACAGAGCTTTCAAAGGAGATTTTAAACATGGAATCAAGATCCTAAATCAGTGTCCTTGAGGAATTGTACCAGGAGATGAAACATGTCTTTACCAGTATGATCCTGAAGATGAAACCAAATCAAAGCAATGGCTACCAAGAGGTGGAAATGGTCCAGTCAAAGGTAAAGAGACCAGTCAAGAGCAAAGGTCATGGCAACAGTGTTTTGAAATGCCCAAGGCATTCTGCTTGTTGATTTTCTTGAGACACAATAACATCTGCTTATTATTATGAGAGTGTTTTGAGAAAGCTAGTCAAAGCTTTAGCATAAAAAACATGTGAGGGGAAACTTCACCAGAGAGTTCTTCTCCACCACAACAATACTCCTGTTCATTCCTCTCATCAAACAAGGGCAATGTTGTGAGAGTTTTGATGGAAAACCATTAGGCATCCTTTTTACAGTCCTGATGTGGCTCCTTCTGACTTCTTTTTGTTTCCTCATCTTAAAATATCTTTAACATGCACCCATTTTTCTTCTGTTAATATGGTCAAAAAGACTATGTCGACATGGCTAAATTCCCAGGACCCTCAGTTCTTTAGGGATGGAATAAATGGCTGGTGTCGTTACTTATAAAAGTATCTTGAACTTGATGGAGCTTATGTTGAGAAATCAAGTTTTTATTATTTTATTTTTATCTTTTCATTCAATTTTTCGCCAATTTTTAAAAGTTCCTCATGGAAGGCTTTTAAGCAGGGTGTGATTTTATCGAATCAGGATTTTTCTGGTGACAAGTAGGAGGATGGATTGAGCATAGAGAGACAGGAGGCATGTGGGTAATGTTTCTATAACAGGATTAATTTATTTTAAAGGGAGAACATAAAGAAGTCAATGAATTTCCATCTGGATTTTTCTTAGTTTGGAAATCTTTTCAAGTTCCTAACAGATTTTATCATGACCTTAGTATATTTTTGAGTTAACAAGCCTCGATGGAAAATAAAAATCTACTCTAAATATTTAAAAAATATATTTCAAGTGGTGATGGAACATTTCCTTTGTCATAAGGACATTTCACCAATCTGCATAGAAATGCTCCAAGTCTTGGAGAATTTCCTCTGTTTTGTTGAGGCTTTTGCCATCTGCCTTTTGAATTTTGGTTATTAAGGTTGAGCAGCTTTGTGACCTACTCAGATTGCCAACATCTGCCTCATTTATTTATGCTTTTTATTTTTCTAATATCCAGGATGAATTGAGTTTTAATGGATGGTACTGATTTTAACTTTGCTTTCTATTCATAAATAAACTTTTAAAAAAATATGAATCTAAATCTATTTCTCACTCCATCTACTTGCTGGCAAGTAGGCATTTTATAGAATGTAATTATTACAGATGGAGCAATGCTGTTTTTTATTTAGCACAATTCACCTATTGCAGAGCCCAGCGTACAGTTTTGTAATGCATAATAATCATAATGGGCTACATAGACCCTCTTGGCTAGCTCTATTTTTGCATATGATTCATTTTAATTTCAGAGGCACAAAAGGGATTATGTCTCTATTGGAATGTCCTGAGTAAGCCCTACAGCAGGGGAGCTGTGATGTCACTTGTTCTTTGAAAAACATGCTTTCATCTATTATGGACTGAGTCTAAAATATAAATATAAGATATTGAAATTTTTTTGTGTTAGAAAACTTGTCATATGCATTTTTCCCTCAGTTAATAATCAGTACGTATTTTCTCATGCAAATCATCTATTTCATAAGTAAAATCCAAAAGTTGGATCTTAAGTTGGAAACTGATTTAAAATCATCATCCCTAACTTCCTCCCTCAGGTATTTACTAACTATTTGTGCCAAGATGAGCAAGACCGTCTGTAGTCTTATTTTTCCTATTTGGATCACAAAATGTTTGTCAAATTTAGACTTTAAATATGTTACTGTGTTCAGTTTCCAGAGGATTTCCTCAGTTTTATTGAAATTAACAGAATTTGCCCTCTGAATTTCAGCTATTAAGGTTGAGATTAATAAGATCAATGTTCAAATCACAACAACATTGATGATGATGTTATGACATAAAAATTAACTTGATGTGAGGTTAAAATTCACCAGATAAATCATGAGTCATGGGATTTGGATTCTGAATCTGTCATATACTAGCCAGGTAGCTAGTGCTTACCACCTAATATTTAAGCAATTCATACTATCACTTGTCTATGACAACTAGAGTAGTGATTAATGGAATTAGAGATACTTAATATGGAAAAAGTGCTTGTAAGAGACTAAAAGGATGAAAAACTATATACTACATAAATATTTCCAAAAGAAGACTGGCATGGCAATACTTTTATCATAAAATTAAAATTCGAAGCTAAAAAAATTAGCCTCCAACTATAGGAAGCAGATATATATATATTACATAATAAATGGACAAATTCCCAATCAATATGGGAGATATTTACACAGCTCTATCAGTAACTTACAGATCAAGCAGACAAATAACTTAAGATTGTATAAAAAATTTGGAAATCAAAACTGGAAAGTATATAGTGGATAATTTATATAGAGAGAAACCTGAAATCAATAAATAGAAAGTATGCATTCCATACAAGTCACATGAAACATTTATAGAAAGTTTATAAAACATTACAACACATTTACTTACTGAGTCACAAAGAAAGTCTAAAAAATTGTAGAGATTGATGTGATGAAAAATAAATTTGCTGATTAAAATGCAATGAAACTAGAGCTTACCAAGAACAGCAATCATCATCAAAATAAATCCATCATGGTAACCAGTTAGTTTAGGGTTGTCCCAATGATCTTTGACTTCTGGGATCCAGACTTTGTGTCATTCCCTCCCACATTGTTCAACAGTTGTTCACTGTCATTAGGAGAGAGTAATAGAAATTATGGCGTATGCCATCTGAATCTAAGGATAAAAGGCACCCAGTTTCCTTCTTGCTATCTCTTGGACTACTCACTGTGGAGAATCAGGGAGCAGCTCTATGAGGAGATCCACAGTGGGAAGAACTGAGAACAGTGAAGAGTGGGGCCTTCAGGCAACAGTTACACAAGTGAACCCTCTTGGGAGTGGATCTTCTCACTTCAATTGAACCTTCAACAAACAGCAGCACTGACCAACAGTTTGACTGCAATTTCATGAGACCCTGCACCAGAACTCCTCAACCAACCCACTCCCAAATCCCTGACCTCACAAACAGATTTTTACCGTGAGATAATAAACATTTGTCCATTTTAAGCCACTAAAGTTTGGGTGAATTTTGTATCCTGCAATAGAAAAGTAATACATTTATATACTTAGCCAATTAATATTTTATCCCCAAATAATTCCTGGGTCTGAATCCCTTTTATTTATTTTGTGGATATTTCCAAAATTATGTAAAAGGAATGAGAAAAAAACAATTGACTTTTGAACAACACAGGTTTGAATTGTGCGGGCCCACTTATATGAATATTTTATTCAATAACCATATTAGAAAATTTTTGGAGATTTGTGACAATTTGAAAAAACTTGTAGATATACCACATAGCCCAGATATAACACAAACACTGAGAAAATATTCAATATGTCATGAACGCACAAAATATATGTAGATACTAGTTTATCATTGGCTACCATAAAATATAGGTAAATCTATCTACAATTATGTGCACATATGGTAGTAACATTCATCGGGTGTCAAGGAGTAGGAAGGGGGAAGGAAGGGATGGGTATATTCACACCTAATGGTGTGATATTAAAATGAACAAATTCATACAGGCAAGAAAAGTACAAACCATTTCTCTTTTACTTTTGTTTCCCCACCTTAGAACTACCTTGGAGTTGAACCCATGTTGTTTTGCAGGTAACTTTAAAAACATATCACATGGATATAATTGTTCATTTGTATATAATTATCACTTATATTCTCATAATCTTCTTGATAGAAATGCTAGTACAATACTCAACATTTTTAAGTGATCTTGATGTCATTTTTAATCTTTCCCTTAGAAAGCATTTATTTCCTATGCACACAGAAAGCTTGCTTATTTTTACAAGTACCTTATAGTTTGAAGATCAACTTTTACCAGAGATTTTAAAAGATGTGCATATTTCATGTATTTATTTAAAAACTGACTTCCCATACAATCTCTGAGATAGTTTTTCTTTCTATTAAAATAGAACTTTAAAGAGATTCAAATGAATATTATCTTACTTGTTCATAGGGCCTTATACAACTGATTGGCTATTTTTCTATTCAGAATTAAGGATTATTGAAGCTTGTGCAGCAAGTACTTTTTCTCCATTATTCATTTCCTGTTACTTACTTATGCAATGAAGCATTATAGTTTTCAGGCTACTACTTCACAGGACTTACAACTTCATTGCTTGTACAAAGAAAAGAACAAAGATGAGTCAGGAGTATGAGAAAACATCTTCTAGGTAATGAGAAAGTGAATCAACTTACATTTCCTGCAAATTGATAAGTAGGAAGTTTTTATTAATGAGTCCTATAATTCTGACAATGTAGTGTTTATTTGCAGGTTCCCATTCAAGAAATATGATTGTATAAGATAATTATTATACATGGAGATTTGGTTCAAGGTAAGCAAAACCCATACTGAATTACTTCTGTAAGAATTTATATAAAATATCTAGATATGCTCTCAAATTGTCATGTCTCAATAATTTTAAATCCACTAACACTTTCAGCAAACTCATTAAAGAGTATTTGAAATGCACCATGCACATTCATTTAAAATTGAATGAATCATTTTTACCTTAAAAATGTCTATCCTGGCTTTGATTATGAATGAGTGAGATAGAATAAGCTGTTGACCAAGCCATAGCCATTTAAAAGGGCTCCCAAGCAAGGTGAATTAGTTGGGGTGGGTTAAGATCATACACATTGACCTTCATTGGCTCTTAGTGTTATGGAGATTGAAGGTTAAGAATCTGCAGGGTGTCGGAGGCCTACATATCATTTTCCCCTACATCCTTACTTCAGTTAATGATGTAGGAATAGAGCATCACCTACATCATGCTATTGTTTTGAACATTCAGCAAACCACACATATGAAAATTGTTTAAGACCTATGAGGCCTTATAGTATGTAAAAGTAATGAGTGACTACGAGGTCACTGTGGAACAGAGATTTTTCAGAGATTAAATTAATAAATACTATCAATAACTGTATGCCAATGAATTTGAAAACTTAGATAAAATGGGAATATTCCTGGAAAAAATATAAAGTAAACCCTGCCAAAAACTACAAGTTCAACAAGAAGCAGAAAATATGCATAGTACTACAGCCATTAATATACTTGTATCGGTGGGTAAATTATCTTCCCACTAGAAAACTCTAGTTTCAGGGGGTTTTGGATAAAACCATATGGGTTTACAGACAAATTCTACCAATCGTTTAAAGAGGAGATTGTTCCTATCTTTCAGATACTAGAGAGAAAAGTTATGTTCACCAACCCATTTCATGAGTTGAATATAATACTGATATCAAAACCTGACAAAAAAGGGAAAATATTAAGACAATATTTATTCATGAACTCAGATAAAAACATCCTAACTAAATATCCTAACTGAATTTTCAGAGTATAAATTAGAATCATTAGAAATCTATTTATAAAATGCATCATATCCATAGATAAAAGTAAGAAAAAACAGATGATCATCTCAAAAATGCTGAAAAATAATTCAGTGCAATCCCAAAACATTGCAAAAACAGCCAGCAAATTAGAAGTGGAAAGGTGCTTTCTTAACCTAGTAAAAAGTATCTGGCAAATGTACAGTAAACATACTCAATAGAGAAATATTTCAAATATTCCCTTAGAAATCAGTTAAAACCCAAGACAATCCCCTCATAAAAATAGAGCAAATAGGATGGGAAACTTTTAAAAAATAAAATATATATATGTATATATGTATATATACATATATATATATCATTGACTCATTAATAAATTATCACTATGAACTCTAGAATAGCAGCTTGTGGAGCTAAATCATAGCCTTGAGAGCTACAAAGAAAAAGTAAATGTACAAAACAAGTGGATTATTTTTTTCATCTCTATTTTTTCATGACTTTCTATCTTCTTGAACCTTTCATATTTGCTATTGCATAAGTACTAGATTCCACCCCCCACCACCACCACATGCACATATGGAAATATAAATAGTGGACACAGAAAAACGCAGGAACAGAATCTAAGCCATTTTTTCACTTGTTGTTTATAACACTTTTATACTGTCAGTGAAATAAGAAATACTATTGAAAAGTATGGGATCTATTTAGCAGTAAGTGACAGAACCATCTTTTCCTTTTGATCTTCAGTACTTTTTTTCCTTGGTTATTTTATTTGACTGATCCCTACATAGTTCAGACCAGAAGACAAAAATATATGATTCATCTCCAGTCTCAAAGCCCCGTCTGAATGGCACTTTATTTACATTAGCATTCCTAATTACTTAATGACCAATCAGATATGGTTCATTGCTAGTAAGTGTAGGAACATGTTGTCTGAAGGATGTAGTTTAATTAGTATACTCCTAAAAACATGTCCCTCATGACCATTGGATGTAATCATTATTTTATGTATTTAACTGTGAAATTCATATTTACTCAGCACGCTAGAGAACAGCACTTAGTTCTTGATGCTGTTTAATAGAGCATAGTTAGATTTTTAAAGGAGACTATAAAATATCAAAAAACAAATTACTTTAAAAAATAGTCATCACTCCAATAAAGTAGTTATTTCACCTAAATACTATTATAATATCATATACATAAAAGAGTAAAGGCATAATAAGTACATGAAGAAGCTCATCATAATTCTTCACTTAATAACATAGGAGTAGGAAGCTCATGTTCTTCTAAACCATGCAGAATTACTTAGATATTTTTACTCTTGATTAATGATTTTCAAAATGACCTCCTTTCAAGGGTAACTGGTAATTTCTATTTTTCCTCCTTCTGATTATTCATTAAATGACAAACAAATTAGATAAAGTTTTCTTCCAGAAAACATAATGTACAAAAACCTAAACCTCTGGCCTGGGCTGGATGGGGGAGAACAATGATTTTCCTTTTAAATAGAGTCTTTTCCAAATGGATATATTTTTCATGCATTGTCCTTTATACTTGACTTTTGAGAAGCACCATATTTTTTAACATGGGTGAGTCCCTTGTTATAATCAACATATTCAAGAAAATGAGTTTACAAGGATTTCAACAACCAGTTACTGTGAACAGTAACTATTGTGCAGAACTTTCTAGAATGCCTTCATGAGCTCACTCTTCATTCATTGTCCATGGTTTTGATTAGAATGTGAATCAAATGCTCACCAAAACAGATGCCTCAGGGCAATATCATGTGCTTTTATGTTCAGGAATTAGTCAACAAATCAGCAATTGATCTTAGAATTTTCACTTTTTCTTATTCTCTGGAAGATGTATTTCTCATTCAGCTCCTTCAGGTATTGTTTCAGGAGTATACAGACAATGTCCTCATGGCTGTCTCCCAGATGAGATACTAATAGCAATGATAATAGTAAAAATAACTTAATTCTGTCAGTGTTACTGTATCAGTAAAACTATTATTAATATTATATTTCGGCAGGTGGGAGGGATACTGTCAAGACCGTGCCCCCAGGGAATGAAGTGTAATCTCTGCCACCTGGGTAAGATTGGAGAAGGACAGATAAATGGCTTTTCTTTCAATTTTGAATTAGGGCCCTACCTTTTGGGGGAGGTTTAGGTAAATCCAGGGTCCTCTTTGTCCATCAGGGTCCTAGAGATCTTCAGTGATCCATCTCCCCAAAGCTAACATTATAATGCAGGGATGTTCCAGACAGATATTTGATAGAATAGGAATGCATAGATTCAGATAGAGTCCCAATGATTTAGTTACAAACTATCTTAATAGGGACCTATTGAAAGAAAGATTTTGTTTTATGCAATTCTTGTAAGAATGGAAAATGTAGACAAATGATATGACAAGTTGGCCATCCTAACTTAAGAAATGAAAAATCAAAATTACTATAAAATGAACTTTGTTAGATTTGGCTTACAAACCAGACAGTATCTATGGCAATGGATATTTAGAGTACAGTACTCTCCTGTTACCTGCAGTTTCACTTTCCACAGTTTAGTTACCTGTGGTCAACTACGGTCCAAAAATATTCAATGAAAAATTCCAGAAATAAACAATTCATAAATTTTAAAAAATATATTATATTTTGGATCTTCTCATGTGCCAAACATTTTATAATCATTCTATAAGCTTCAACTTGTTTATTCCATAAATCCTCCTACTGATCTGGACATTATTTTTCCATTTTACCCATGAGGAAATTGAAATACTGAAAAGTTTAATACCTGTCCCAAAGTAATATACAATTAGTAACTAATGAAACTTAGATTTAATAAATCTGTTTAAAAATTATAAATAAAATTCTTAGAAGTTTAAGGAATTAAGAAGACAACGAGATTTACAAGATTATACTATCTTTAATCTTTACTAGAAACACCTAAACTAATAATTTTTGAGAAAAACATTAGAATATCTGTAATTACTTCTTGTAATAATTTTTCTACAAGTAAACAATAAGTTCACTTTAATCTTTTTCTTTGAATTGCCATGATTTGAATTCCACTGTTGGTTGAGTTGCTCCTGTCTTTCCAACAGTCTTTTTCTAAGCACATATCAAGAAGTGACCCTTGGTCCAGGCTTAGATGTTGCAGAGGCAGGAGTCTAAGAGCCCTCTCCATCTGGTGAGGTCACTTTGATTATAGTTTTTGATGTTCTATTTATTGCCTTGCTGAAAATGTCCTAATCTCATCTTCTCTTCAATAACTAGTCACATATGGAGGTACAGAGTGGAGGATTAATATTTGAGTAGTTTGGGGAAAGTATTTTCTACAAATGTAACTAAAGGTGAGCTTCATTTTCTTTAAGTGTTATTTAATACATAGACAGTTCTATGAAATATGGGCCACTGTGAGGTGTCAACAGTGAAAGGAGCCCAGATACTTGCTGTCAGACAGACTTGGGCTTAATTTCCAGCTGTACTAACTACTATATGCAAGATTATATGCAACTTGTTCACTGTAATGGGTCTGTTTTTCTTTTATGTTTCTTTGTTTTCCTTTCTTTTCTTCTGCTTTCTTCTTTTTCATGGTGTAAAACATATGGAATAATAATCTTTATTTCAAAAGATTAAATAAGATTATGAGTATAATGTGAACAAAAATGTTCCTGGCACTAAATATGTGTTCAAAAATTGACAACTATAGTATTAATAAATGACACTTAGCATTGTGATCTGAGTGAAGAAGGAAGAGAAAAACTGGCTTGTTTAGGTTGAATTAAACCAATCAATAACCTCAAAGAAAATCCAAGTCAAATAGATATTTTAACACCTTGTTGACTAAACATCTGATCTGATCAGCAACAAAGAGAAATTTCTATGGAGTATACACAGCTTCAAAATTTCTTCCATCAACTCAAGCTAACACAGTTTGATAACATCAAGTAGAAGATTCAAACTTCTTCATTTATTCTGGGGGCTTCATCTAAAGAGTCAGAAAAAGCACGTAAGTCAACAGAGGAAAAGGACCACAAAGGAGTATATCACAGCTCTCTTTGGTACTCCAAGCAGAGTGAAGTCCTGACCAGAGGTGTCCAACACATCCCAAACTCTTCTTATTGCTCTGGAATCTGGTTTAGAGCCTGCTTCACATTAGCTGCAAGGACTTGGTAAATAAAAACATAATCTGTGAGACTGGGTAAGCCAGAAGTGAAGCTTCATCCTGATAGTCCTAGAATTACACACTCTCTTAGCAAAAATAGGCTTTGTGCCTGTCTGCCATCTATTCCTGCAAATAAGCATGTACGTTATTTCAATGAGGTCAATCTAAAATCACTGAGTATTATTCAGAATCAATTCAAGTCTCTTCTTCTTACTGTACACAATAATGACTAGAGTATGAGTTACAGTTTTACAGGGACACATGCTCATGCACAGATACATTACTTTTGTGTGTGTGTGTGTGTGTGTGTGTATTTCTAAATAGGCTTAAACTCACATTCTTGGTTAATCATGTGAAATGTTTTATTTATAGTTTTATCCATTTATAGAGCCTAGATCAGTTGTTCTTAAACTTTAGTGCATATAAATTTTACTTAGGGAGCATATTTTAAAATGTAGATTCCTGGACCACACCATGAAAATCCTAATTTGATCAATCTAGGGTGAAGCTGCATTTTAATGAACACCTCTGGTGTTTCTGATTCAAAGGGGTCTTCAGGCCCATTTTAAGAAATGGGACCCTAGAGGGACTAGGATTTCTGTTTGAATTTATCTCAAAGATTAGTTAGGAGAACACATAGAATTATGTTAAACCTACAATAGCAGACAACTTAATTTAGTTTCAATACCTTCATTATGTAAAGGAGGAATGCAAAGCCCAGGGGGATGATAATATTTAAAATAAATGCTAATATTTGTAGTGTGTTATCAGACACTGTGCCAAGTACTCTGCCTACATTATCTTATTACTGTTTAATAACATTATTATTATCCCTATTGTATAGATGACAGAAGCAAAAATTAGAGAGCATATGCCATTTGTTCCAGGTTATAAAATAAATCCATTTTGGAGTGGTATTCAAACACAGGCTATCAGACTACATAGTAAAAGAGCAACAACAACAGTAATAATAATAGAAATAAACCAACATTTACCAAATGCTCATTATGTACCAGACACTCTGGTAAGTGTTCTATAATAAGTTAATTATAATATTTCATCCTCACTTAGCTCTACAAGGGTGGTATTATAATTATTCCCATTTTAGGTATGCAGGAATTAAATCTAAGAGAGGCTAAGTAACTTGCTCCACATCATAGAGAATGAGGGAGCTGGGATATGAACTCGGGGTTGTAGCTTCAAAGCTCATGCTCTTAGCTACTACAACAGACATTTGAAGTTGCCTCACTTTCAATGCAGTCTTCTTTCCCATGCCACAGATTATGGAAAATGTAGAACAGCTCCCTAGCAGGGCCCACTGGGAAATGCATTATATGAACATGTATAAGAACAAGCACATGTATGTATCAATTAGGATTCTTCATTGCATGCAACAGAAACTGACCAGAACTAACTGAGGCTGAATGATATTTTATTGGAAGGATATAGAGAAAAAAGATATAATAAATGCATAATTACATAACAGAGAAGAGAGGCAGGAGGGCTTCAGTCAAATTCATATGGCAGGAACAGCCTGCCTCAGATGCTGCCACTGGTAAGCTCCTTTGTCATAGCAGAATACTCCAGCCACTGGATGCAGCCATGACGTGTGGATGCTAAACCAAAGACTAAACATTCTAAATAGGAATACGGAAGTGACCAAGGAACCAGTCAGTTGTCTACATTTTGCCTCCTAAAATGTGGGGAGAGAAAGTACCTATCTCTGCCTCCCACTGTGGAGTTTCCACCCAATCAGTAAGGTAATTGCATCTGGGTAGCCAAAGAACAAATTTCCCGCAGTAATTTTACATAGGTGAATGTCTCCATTAGGAATACTCAACAAGGTGATTTCTGACATAGGCTGAGAGATTAAGAAAATAACTTATAGTTTAGCAAAAAGCATTGAAATATTTTGAATAAAATATAGATGAAATTCAGTAACAACATATTTATGAAAATTTAAAGATTGAGACAATTAGTCATAAAAACATAATTTAAATTGAAATGTTGAAGCAGACAGTCAAATTTAGATGACATTATATTTGGGGATTTAAATTATATGTGTAAGTGGGTCACTCTAGTTAAGGTAATGATCTAAACTTTTTGAAAGCTTTGGAGGGAAAAAGAGAGAGAGAGAAAAGTATTGTACTGATCCCAGACTATTCTGGTCTTTTTGATGCCTCACATGGGGTCTTAAGAATGAATAACCAAGATATTAGAAAATATTCTGATGTTAAATTATTGTTTGATTTTCTTTTGAGGGACAAAAGAACAGAGCACAACTCCCTAGGTGAGGAGTGCAGGGTTTTCCTTGAAGCAAATCAAGCTCCCCCATTAGTCGTTCTCAGTTAGGAAATGAGGCCACAGGGAGGAGGGCTCTGGACTTTGGGGATAGGAAATCTTTTATCTCTGGGGCTTAGGGTAATTGGCTCAGACACCATAGTATACAGTTATATGTAGTAGGGGTTTTTTGGGGTGGGGGAGTTGTTTTTTTACAGCTTTGTGAAGTATAATTGGTATATAATTAACTGCATCTATTTAATGAGCACAATTTGATGAGTTTTAACATACATATGATCCATGAAAACATTATCACAATTAAGATAATGAATATATCTATAATTTCCACAAGTTTTCCTTATGTCCTTTATAATCTCACCTTCTTTCTTTATCTCTCATCCCTGTCCCCAGGCAGCCTCTGATATGTTCTTTCTTTCTGAATGCATTACATATTTTAAAAAAATTTATATGAATGGAATCATGTAGTGTGTACACAGTTTGATCTGACTTCTTTCAATCAGCATAATTTTTGAGATTCATCCATTTTTCCAATGTGTATCAACAAAATACTTCGTCCCTTCTCATTGCTGAGGAGTATTCCATTGTATGGATATACCACAATTGGTTTATCTATTTATCCATTTATG